TGCTGGTGATTGTGACAAAACATACACAAAGAAGCTTGATAAAAATGTTATTTTAAGAAGAAAATTTCAGACAGTATTTAGAGGTTTTTGCATCTAAACTCTTCAAGTTTACATTTTTTTTTTTACAAATAATACAGTAAGTACAACTCCTGAGATACACCAGTCAATACAGTAGTTTGAGTATTTGTAATTTGTTACTTTACAACAGGTGATATTTATAAAACAAACATGAAAATTGTTTTAAACTGTGCTTTTGTGAAACAAAGATATGCAGAATATTTTAATTACATATCTTTGCATTTACACTACAGCCCAAAGTTTAACAGAAAAGAAAAAGCACAGGCAAGTGGAGGTAGGTTTGTTATTATGTAGTGATGGAATTTGGTAAAAACAAAGTCATATTTCTCTCAATCTCTAACTCATTGAATGTTTCTTTTTTTAAGAACCAGAAAAAAGCAAAGAAGAGACTGTGAGTGACTTTATTATTATTATTTTTTCCAAGGCCAAATGGGCTGTATATGCACATATACTTTTAATTTTCAGCCAGGCAGCCGAAGGGCTTCTTGTGAACTATCTTTCAAAATTGTCACGTTTAAGATCTGATTTCTTTAAAAATTAGCGATCTTCACTGCCTGTTAGATATACAATATGAAGTGGGTCTCAGATCGGACAAGAAGCACTGCATCAAATTCCATTTCCCCCCACCATGTCTTTACATTATGACAGTTTATTTTACCCCAGTATTTTTAATGGAGTTTCTGCGCTAGCCTATTGCTAATAACGACGCTAGTGGTTACAACTGTCTTGTATCTTGTAATTTCTTTAAACAACTAAATGAATTAACTGAATGTATTTTAATTACATTACACCATTGATGCTGTTAAAACAACTTTGTGAAATTGAAAATAGTCACATTAAGCTTTCACCTGAAGTTTATCGTGACTTTAAAACTCTAGCTGTGCATAGAGCCCATTCAATCCTGTTGTTTGACTGACAAACTATAAACACTAACAGGAACAGCACTTTCAAATGAGATCCTTCACTGGTGCAAAAAGTAAATGACACATATGCTGCGTTCGAAACCGCCTACTACTCAGTAGGTATTACATTTGAATTTAAATGTACTGCTCGGCCGTTAGAAAAGTACGTTCTATACAGTATGAATGCTAAAAGTATGAATGGAATTCCGACGTACTACATCCACCATTTTGTCATGGTCACGTGACCTACCTGCGTCAGTTGCATCGCTTCACTCCCATTCATGAATTCTCTCACAGGGCATTATGGGATAGTGCAGCGTGCATGGGATGCACACTTCAGAATCTCACCGGAAGTAGTAAGTCATTCGGGTACTTCTTGCATACTGATTTTCGAATTCTAAGAATTCGGACATAGTACTCAGCTCGCATACTGATTTTAGCGTACTGTATAGTATGGAAGTATGCGGTTTTGGACGCAGCCATACTGTACAGCAGGGGTGACCAGCCCTGCTCCTGGAGATCATCCTTTCTGCTGAGTTCAGCTCCAACCATGATCAAACACACCTGATCCAATTAATCAGGACCTGAACAGCTCTGGATAATTACAGGCAGGTGTGTTTGATATTTGTTGCAACTCGAATCTGCAGGACGGTAGATCTCCAGGAGCAGGGTTGGTCATCCCTGCTGTACAGTCATTCACTCAATTATCTTAGAGGTAATTAAAGAGTTTATACATTTTACAATGAAGAAATGGGTGTATTTTACAGTCGGCTCCAATGGACTTTAATCTTTTACATATTATTGTACAAAGGCATGTCAATGATGTCATGAAGTCAGAAGCTGACCTGTTCTGATAAAAACAAAACTATGAAAGGAATTGCTACAGTGTAATACAGCACGTCTCCAGTTTTATGTTTTAAATATCAAAAACATTGGATTACAGTATGTTACATCATTGTGCCTGACATTGTGGTTGTAATTTAAGAAAATCTCATAACTGTTTGTAGGAACCATACTATGAAGAACTGACTAATGTCCAGAGAACTAATGGAGGGCGAATGGCTCAGGGAAAGAATACAAGCTTCAAAGAAAATGAGTATGTAAATGTAAAACATGGACCTCCAAAGAACTCCTGAACTTAAGGTGAGCAAGTTCACTGGATTTCATGATATTAAATTCTACTCCAACCCATTGTAGAACATCATGCTATATGGGTGCTCACAAAATTTTAATAATCGGCGTCTTGCAGTAAAAAATATTGTTAAGTTCATAACAGACAGTACATCTACAATGTCTCCATTTAGTTTCCAAATCCTCTTTCTGTGTGCAGGTGAAAAAGTGAACACCATGAAAGATTGAAATACTACTGCTGAAGAACAGGATGGATGAACTCTGTGATTGTGTGTGTGTGTGTGTGTGTGTGTGTGTGTGTGTGTGTGTGTGTGTGTGTGTGTGTGTGTGTGTGTGTGTGTGTGTGTGTGTGTGTGTGTGTTTGCATGTGCATACTTTAAAGAAAAATGTATCATAGTTTTGTGTTGAAATAATAAAACAAACGCATTTTCACATATTGTAAGAAAGTGAATGCAAATGCAGAGCTCATTATTGTAACTCACCTTTGATCAAAATGAGTTTGTCAATGTGATAATTTACATTTTTAGGAAATTAAATATATGAGGGCAAATTTATTAGCCCACCTGTGAAATACTTATTCATTTTTCAAATATTTCTCATGGGATATTTAAAGTAGCAAGCACATTTTCACAGTATTTCTGATAATATTTTTTATAGAGAAATTCTTATTAGATTTATTTTGGCTAAAAAAAAAAAAAGCAGTTTTGGGGCGACATGGTAGCTCAGTGGTTAGCACTGTTGCCTTGCAGCAAGAAGGTTGCTGGTTTGAGTCCTGGCTTGGTCAGTTGGAATTTCTGTGTGGGTTTCCTCTGGGTGCTACTGTTTTCCACACAGTCCAAAGACATGCGCTGTAGGTAAATTGAATAAACTGAATTAGCCATAATGAATGTGTGTAAATGAGAGAATGTATGGGTTTTCCCAGTACTGGGTTGCAGCTGGAAGGGCATCCGCTGTGTAAAACTTATGCTTGTTGGCAGTTCATTCCACTGTGACAACCCCTGATGATTAAAGGCACTAAATCAAATGAAAATAAATGAATGAATAAAAGCAGTTTTTAAAAATATACATTTAAGGTCAATATTATTATTAGTCCTGTTAATCATTCTTTTCCAGTTGGCTACAGAACAAATTATTTTGTATAATGACTTGTCTAACTGCCCTAACTTGCCTAAACTAATTAATCAAGTTAAGGTATTAAACTGCTCTTCAAGCTGCAAACTAATATATTGAAAAATATCTAGTAGAATATTATGTATGTATTATGAATATTATGTCATTATACATCTTTCTGAGAAGTTGCATATTTGAAATCTAAAGACTTTAAATGTGAATTATTTAAAATTCTATACACAGTATGTTAAATGCTTTGCTGAAATATTGTCAGTTTTTTTTTTTTTCATTTTAAATTCTTAAATGCATAAAATTTTAGTACGTTAAGTCAAATAGTCAACCAACAATTTTACTGATGGGGTCTAAATTACAAAAATGAACATCAGCATGTTATCAAAAAAATATTTTATTTAGTTATTCAAAAACACTGATCTCTAGAGAGAAGTATTGCATTTTTTCTTTTTTCAGTTTTTTTTCTTTTATTCTTCTCATACATGACAACACATTGTTATACATGATTTTATTTTAGAATTAGATTAGCTTCTGTGTGCATTGTACTGCTCTGTAAAAAATGATTAATTATTTAGCTTTTCAAAAAAGTGATTAGACCATTGCCATAAAAATGACAAGTTGAATTTATAAAAAAAAAACAAAACAAACAAACAAAAAAACACTGTAACCTGCACCTGTTAAATTGACTTAACTTCATTTTTATAAATCACGCACATAGTTCATTTGCCTAATATTTTTATGGGTTTGCTCAGTATCTTAAAACTGCTCAAGAACCTGATCATTCCAAGGTGACAACTTGTGTGTGTCATATTATCATAATACCTTTTGTTTATAACTTGTGGTTTACGCTGAACATTAAACTACATAATTCAAACTGAAAACTTAAACGTTCGTAGTTTAAACTCAGAAAATGTACATTTCTTTAGAAAATATTTCTTAGCAAAATTTTTACAGTCACATTTAGTCAATATTTTGTCTAGTTTTTAATTATAAAGTTATAGTTTTTAAATCACTCTATTAATTAGTAATTTACGATAGCAAGTTTTTAGTTACTGCTGATTCTATCAAACAGTTTCTCAGCAGTCATCAGACATATCCTCATTGTTTCTTTCTTGCACTCAGCCAGTAAATCATTGAATCACCTTTAGACCTGAACACAACATCAGATAATAAAGGAGGAAGGAGCATTTTGTTCTGTCATTATCTACTGTCCTATTACTAATAGTGTTCTTTGCTAAAAAAATAATAATAATAAAAAATAAATCATCTTTGTTATCCTTTTTGCTTAGTCTTTTGAATATTTATTTAAGGTCATACTGTTCTTTTATCATTAATGGTGATATGCAACTGAAAAGCATTTATCAGAACACTTGCAGAGGAAAATGTCTTCATCGTGACTTCTCAGGAAACAGTAAAAGTAACAAAAAAGTCCTCTTTTGTATTGATCTATTCACATTACAACATTTGTGATGTAAATTATGTAAATAAGTCAATAATACTGCATACATCATTCTCTATAAAATATAAAGCTATAAGCATATTTCAGAATTAAGTCAAATAAAGTATAAATGCTATGATTAAAGTAATTATCATATAACTGTGAGAAAATTATGATTTTTGAGAATAATGTCATGTGTAATGTAATGTGATGTACAGCAGAAGCATGAACAGTATGCATAGATCACAAGGCTCACATGTTGATTCAAGTCTCACTGAATGAAGATTAAGAATCTAAACTGAATGAACACAAGGAACTTTTTATTCATGCATTAAATTATTGCTTCATCATTAATGCTGTAAACATAAGATAAACGTTAGATTATATTGCTGATCCAAGTGAGACATGTTCATGAGCACTAGGTGGCGCAGTGAGCTTATAGTCTGCATTTTATATCAGCCGTTTGTCTTGAAACAGATCAGACGATTTGAGCTGCAGCTCCATGCAGATCAGAGCTCGATCACGATCATGATGGTTTTTCGTGGATTATACTGGACTCTGTGGATGTTCTCATGTATTGGTGAGACCTTTATAAAATTCAATTTTAATTAAAAGTGCCTAATAATGAAATAATGTTTCTAAATAATGTAGTAATTTGATCAATTCATTGCAGTATAACAATAGTAGTAGTAGTAGTAGTAGTAGTAGTAGTAGTAGTAGTAGTCAGAATAACATGTTCTTCACATGAATTGGTTGGTTAATTTAGAAAAAAAAAATTTTGATTAGTGCAAATATTAAACAAAGATTAGTGCAATTATTTGTCAATTTGGAACTAGTTTTATATTATAAGGATTTTACATTACCTGATTCACCCTCCATAGTTTCACCGTATAGAGTCAGTTTGGGCAAAAAACACTTGTGCTCTAGAACCTGAAACTGGAGGATTCTGAATCATACAGTCTGACTTTTCTAAATAGTAGTAGAGATCCATTTAGAGGAGAAACTACACTGCAGGTGTTTTGGCAGTGTGTGTGTGTAAATGTGTGTGGGGAAAACAAATTTGTTGTAAAAGGTGCAGTGGATTGCTAAAGAGAAACAAAACTAATGAGAAAACAACGAAGACGATAGTGATTATATATGTATGATAACAACACTAATAATGATAATCATAATGATAATAATTAGGATTGTTAATGGTGTTGACTCCCTGTTATTCACCTGAACTACAAATCCCATCATGCCATGCAATCACAGACAGAGTGCATAGGGCCCTGGCACCTTAGGGGCCCTTCAGCAGGTAGTAGAATGACCCCCATCTACTTCCCCTCCACCTAATCTCCCATTCCCGGCCCCACTGGACTGCACTTCCGATGATTGCCAACCTCCCACCAAACAACCCCTCCCATTCCTCCAGAGTCTTCATTTTCTACGATTGATGTCAATAAAATATTGCTCCTCCCCTTCTCACTCTTCAATTTCGACAGTTGTGGCACCCAACCCATCCCCTCCCTCTTCACTGCAAATTGAAAGGGTTTAACTTCACTACAACTTGAAGGGCCCAAAATTGTTGGCTACACCCCTGCATGGGCTCTATACACCATTCACACACACATACAGTGCTGAGTCTTGTTTTACTGTTGTGAACAATATCAAGTGCCTTGTTTTGCCTTGCCTTGTTTTGACCCTTTGTTTGTTTACCGTTTGTTGATAGTTTGCCGCCCATCTCGACCCTTTCGCCTGTTTCTCTATTGCTTTGATTTATTCTTATATGGCTGTTTGCTCCTGTTTCAACCCTTGCCTGTCTGACAACTCATAAAGCCGCATTTGGATCTTATGTATGTTGTTACACTCAAGGGCTTAGATTTGCTCTTGACATTGGTGGGTACCTATGATTCCCCCGAAACCTACACCCCACCCCAGGAACAAATATTGTTTTTTATATGCTGCAAATCACTTTTCATTAATAATAGCACACATTTGTGTCTGACATTTTGCAAATACATAACTGTAACTTGGGCTGCTCGGTGGTGCAGTGGGTAGCACGTTCGCCTCACAGCAAGTAGGTTGCTGGTTCGAGCCTTGGCTGGGTCAGATGGCATTTCTGTGTGGAGTTTTGGTTATTCTCTGTGTGTGCAAATCGAGAGATTCAGATATTCACATCAGAGCTGTGTATAAATTCTATACAAATATTATTATTACAAGTTCTCACATTTAGATTAGCAAGTTATTGAGGTTTACTACTGGTTTACCTTTATAAACACCAGTGATGATCTGGTGATTTATTGCATCGTTTCTTGGTGTTAATGTGTATTTTGCCTGTCCATGTGTCAAAATCACATTATCTTCATAATTTATGATCTTCAAATCTTCACTCAAGATTTGACATTTAAAAGATTCTTATATTAATTGTAAATAAATATTTTTAGTCAGATATGTTCATTATTTTAGCAAATATATGGATGTGAAAATGAACATAATTAATCAACACTTTTAACAAAATTATTTAAAACATAATTTTATTATTTGTTGCATTATCATTATTTTCTTGTAACTCTGACTACATGTTTTGAAAATAAAATCAAGAAATAATATTTCATAAATATATTGCCAAAAAATAGGTAAAACCAGGCTGTGACAAAAATGGTATGTGACCTTTAAATAAATGTACAAAAATGTGTTTATGTGTTTTCATAAGTCAAATAGTTATTTATTAATGTGGTCAAAGTTTAAATATTAGAACAAGTAATAGATTTTTAGATATTTTCCCATAACAATGAAGAATGTTTCTGTAGAATCACCCTGAAACGTTTATTTTGTTCTTTATCTATTTTACACAGAAAATATACATAATAGGCTTATTGTTCCAGAGCAATCATTAACAGAGGATGAGTCATCTGTTAACACCATCTCTTTACCACATGCTGTACAAGTTCAAGGTAGGTCAAACAACCCAAAGAGTGTTAATTTTGGCAATGAATTGTGACATTGTTTCAAAATATGAAGTTAATATTAAATGCAAAATATCAAAGGGCTTTGTTTGTGTAATTTAATGACAAAATCATTAGGCCCGCTGTGATTTATTTGACCTTTTTTAATATATCCCAAGTGCTGTGTAAAGGAGCTAAGAAATTTAAACAGTATTCTATTCTATTTTATATTATTTCTTATGGGGAAGACAAGTTTGGCTGGAATAAAAGCATTTTTTTCTATTTTTAATAGAAAAAACCGACCACTTTATTAGGTACACCTTACCGGGTTGTACTCCCTTTTGCCTTCAGAACTGCCTTAATCCTTTGTGCCATAGATTTAACAAGGTACAGGAAATAGTCCTCCGAGATTTTGGTCCATATTGACATGATAGCATCACACAGTTGCTGCAGATTTGTCAGCTGCACATCTATGATGTGAATCTCCTATTCCACCACATCCCAAAGGTGCTCTATTAGATTGAGATCTGGTGACTGTGGAGGCCATTTGAGTACAGTGAACTCATTGTCATGTTTAAGAAACCAGTCTTTGACCATTTTTTGAAAGTCATTTAATCTGCTTTTAATAGAATCATAAACAGAAGAGAATCACAAAAACATATGTTACTAGTTCAAGGTAAATAATGCAGGTCAAGCCAACTCAAAGTATTAGTCTTCTCTACAATAGTATTTTCTGTTTTGGCCTTTAAACATCTAGAGTGTTCGAAATAAACAGTTTTTTGTAAGCACTGAAAAAAAACTTTGTTAAAGTTACAACTGAAAAAAATGATATACAGTTGATCTAGAGTACAGATACAATTTGAATTGTAGTGAAGAAGTATGTTTCCACGTGCAGTTAATTTTTCCCTTTTCTTTCATTTTTCAAATGACAAAATGTAGGTAAAGATCATCAGTGGCCTGAGCTGATTAATGGAGCAGTAGGAGGAAGCGTAAAGTTCACCCCTAATAATCCACCATCAACTGCGATTGATATAATCAACTGGCAATTTGGAACAACTATTATATTGACTGGAAATCCTGATTCACCATTTGTTGCCTCAGCATATAGAGACAGAGTCAGTTTTGACAAAAACACTCTCGCTCTGGAGCTGCGGAACCTAAAACTAGAGGATTCTGGATCATACAGTCTGACTGTGGTCCCTAGTAGTGGAGATCAAGTTAGAGGAGAAACTGCACTACAGGTGTTTGGTGAGTGTGTTGCAATGAATGATTTATTGATCATATTAGGCTATATATACACCTTAAACCTCTTATAAACCTGTAATTATTAATGTGTGAAACAATTACATATAAATGATAATAAAATAACTGAGTAGTGGAGGTACAGTACAGATGTGAAGTTGTTGTTGTTATAATAATAACTTAGATGTTCCCAATATATATTGTTATTGATGGTGAGATGCCTGGTTGTTTTTCATGAAGCAGACGTACATTGATGTTTATTTAGCTTTCAGGCACTCATGTGTGCCATTGGAGTTTTGCGTGAAATTTTGGAATGCCGATCAATCATTAATTAATAACAACACTGCAACAAGCGAGCAGCGCAATATCAACTATAATAAGAAACTCTAATTTATAAGTAATAACACACAGATGGAAACTGGTAGTTCAATACTAACTAGTCCAGTGTTTCTCAACCATGTTTCTGGAGGACCAACAGCTCTGCACATTTTCCATGTCTCCTTGAGCAAACAAGCTCATTAGCAGAGACTGAAAGAGCTGTAATGGGTGTGACAGACAAAGGAGACATCCAAAACATGACTGCATGTTGGTGGTCCTCCAGGAACTTGGTTGGGAAACACTGAACTATACAATAATTACTTTTATTCATTCTTCTAAAGAGCTAATCAGAAAAAATATATATATTTAATGCGTAACTAAACAAGGCGAGGCAGTGGCGCAGTAGGTAGTGCTGTTGCCTCACAGCAAGAAGGTCGCTGGGTAGTTGGTTCGAACCTTGGCTCAGATGCCGTTTCTGTGTGGAGTTTGCATGTTCTCCCTGCCTTCGTGTGGGTTTCCTCCGGGTGCTCCGGTTTTCCCCACATTCCAAAGACATGTGGTACAGGTGAATTGGGTAGGCTAAATTGTCTGTAGTGTATGAGTGTGTGTGTAGGTTTCCCAGAGATAGGTTGCAGCTGGAAGGGCATCCGCTGCGTAAAAAAACTTGCTGGATAAGTTGGCGGTTTGTTCCGCTGTGGCGACCCTGGATTAATAAAGGGACTAAGCCGACATGAAAATGAATGAATGAATGTGTAACTAAATAAGTTCTCTAGGACTAATATCTTGTTCAACATTACCATTTTAACTGCTACTTTCAACAAATACGCACTAATGTTTACATTATTAATTAGTAACCTAACAGACCTAGACCTAACAGACCCAAAACCAGTCTACTTCACATCTATTGACGTATATTTGAATTTGATTACTAAGAATTATTTTTGGCAATCATGAGACAAGCATTGTATGACAATAGTGGGATAATATGTATGCGAAAAGTGGATGCACACCAAATACAGGCATACAATATTAGCAGTGCTGTTCAATATACTAAATACAAAAAATTATTTTTACTATACAAACAAATTAATCAATAATTAGCTTACAAACACATTCAGGAAATAGCTTGGTTAAAAATAATAGATTGAAAACACTATTGGTTGGGTTTAGGGAAGGAAAAAGGTGGGTCAGTAGATCGGTCAGTCAGTCATTTAGTCAACAACAGCCTTTGGTGGATTTATGCTATAGAAAAAGCGTATGGGACATATTTGGCGTTCTCCAGAAATATATATAGAGGTACGTTTTTTTTTTTTTTTTTTCAGAATGAGCCTGGGTTGACTAGTTACAAATGAACTACTAGTGTCCTCTGAGTCCTTTTACTTAGTAATTCATTCATCAGAGTTTGTTTATAGTTAAAAGTAATTACTAGATGGGTGGTGTTGTGTTACTTGTTTGAGCATGTATATAGTATTTAATTCATGATTTTTATAAAAAAAAATAAGAAATAATAACGTTTTTTTTTTTTTTTTTGCCTTCATGTGGTTTCAATTACCTGGTATGTTGTAATGTTCTCGCCATGTTTGTGTGGGTTTCCCCCCACAAGTCCAAATACATGCCGTACAGGTGTATTGGGTAAGCTAAATTGTCCGTAGTGTATGTGTGTGAATAAGTGTGTATGGATGTTTCCCAAAACATATGATAAGTTGGCGGTTCATTCCGCTGTGGCGACACCAGGTTAAGAAAGGAACTAAGCTAAAAAGAAAATGAATGAATGCATAACTGTAGTTTAAAACTAAAACACAGGTGTTTTGATTATTCTCTGTGTTTGCAAATCGAGAGATTCAGATATTCATATCAGAGCTGTGTGTAAATACTATACAAATATTATTATTACAAGTTCTCACATTTAGATTAGCAAGTTATTGAGGTTTACTACTGGTATACCTTTCATAAACACCAGTGATGATCATTTTGTTTCTTACTGGGGATTTATTGCATCGTTTCTTGGTGTTAATGTGTATTTTCCCTGTCCATGTGTCAAAATCACAGTATGATCTTCATAATTTATGATCTTCAAATCTTCACTCAAGATTTGACATTTAAAAGATTCTATTAATAATTGTTTATAAATATTTTCAGTCAAATATTTTCATTATTTTAGCAAATATATGGATGTGAAAATGAACATAATTAATTAACACTTTTAACAGACTTCATTATAACATAATCTTCTTATTTGTTGCATTATCATTATTTTCTTGTAACTCTGACTACATGTTCTGAAAATAAAATCAAGAAATAATATTTCAAAAAATATTGCCAAAAAACCAGGCAGGGACAAAAATGGTATGTGACCTTTAAATAAATGTACAAAAATGCGTTTATGTGTTTTCATAAGTCAAATAGTTATTTATTAATGTGGTCAAAGTTTAAATATTAGAACAAGTAATAGATTTTTAGATATTTTTCCATAACAATAGAGAATGTTTCTGTAGAATCACCCTGAAACGTTTATTTTGTTCTTTATCTATTTCACACAGAAAAAATAAATAATAGGCTTATTGTTCCAGAGCAATCATTAGCAGAGGATGAGTCATCTGTTAACACCATCTCTTTACCACATCCTGTACAAGTTCAAGGTAGGTCAAACAACCCAAAAAGTGTTCATTTTGACAATGAATTGTGACATTGTTTAAAAATATATAGTTTCAAAGTGTTTTGTTTTTGTAATTTGATGACAAAATCATTAAGCCTGCTGTGATTTATTTTAACTTCTTTTATATATCCCAAGTGCTGTGTAAAGGAGCTAAGAAATTTGAACAGTATTCTATTTTCTTTTATATAGTTTTTTATGGGGAAGACAAGTTTGGCTGGAATAAAAGCATTTTTAATATTTTTAATTTATATACACTCACAGATCACTTTATTAGGTACACCTTACTGGGTTGTACTCCCTTTTGCCTTCAGAACTGTCTTAATCCTTTGTGCCGTAAATTCAACAAGGTACTGGAAATGTTCCTCCGAGGTTTTGGTCTATATTGACATGATAGCATCACACAGTTGCTGCAGATTTGTTGGCTGCACATCCATGATGTGAATCTCCTATTCCACCACATCCCAAAGACGCTCTTTTAGATTGAGGTCTGGTGACTGTGGAGGTCATTTGAGTACAGTGAACTCATTGTCATGTTTAAGAAACCAGTCTGAGATGATTTACGCTTTGACATGGTGCATTATCTTGCTGAAAGTAGCCATCAGAAGAGGGGTACACTGTGGTCATAAAAGAATGGACATGGTCAGCAACAACACTTACTGTAGGTAGGCTGTCGCATTGACACATATAATCTTCAATTAGTACTCATTTTCTACTACAAGAAAATATGCTCCACACCATTACACCACCAGCAGCAGCTTGAATCGTTGATTCAAGGCAGGATGGATCCATGCTTTCATGCTGTTGATACCAAATTCTGACCCTACCATCTAAATGTCACAGCAAAAATCGAGACTTATCAGACCAGACAACGTTTTTCCAATTTTGGTGAACCTGTGCGAATTACAGCCTCAATTTGCCATGCCACATTCAAAGTCACTTAAATCACCTTTCTTCGCCATTTTAATACTCGGTTTGAACTGTAGCAGTTTGTCTTAACCATGTTTACATGCCTAAATGCATTGAGTTGTAGAGTAAGTGAAAAATGAAAGTGTTCTTTACTGCAATTGATTCATTCTTCTTTCATTTTTACATAGGACAAAATGTAGATCGAGATCTTCAGATTCCTGAGCTGACTAATGAAGTAGTAGGAGGAAGCGTGAAGTTCATCCCTAATAACCCACCATCAACAGCAATTAAAGTAGTTCAATGGAAATTTGGAACAACTGGTATACTGACAGGACCACCTGATTCACCGTTAATAGTCTCAACATACAGAAACAGAATCAGTTTTGACAAAAACACTCTCTCTTTGGAGCTCCGGAACCTGAAACTGGAGGACTCTGGATCATACAGTCTGATTGCTCTTGATAGTGGTGCAAATCAACTTAGAGGAGAAACTTCACTACAGGTGTTTGGTGCGTGTTTTGCCACAAATTGCTATGATTGACCATCTTAGGCTGTGAATGTGGGAAATAAATAAATTATAGTTTACAATTTTCCATTAAAAGTGTGATGCTGTGTAAAGGTAAAAGACAGTGAGAGTTTTGGTCAAATTAGTTATTTATATTTTTATTTTCACTAATCTATGAATATTGTCTTGAAACTAGCATTAAAACACACAAAACAAGCTTTAACATAAAATAAACAAATGTTTTCAATGAGAAATCAAATTAACATGCAGATGGTCAAAGGCAGGCAGCAAACAGAGGTGCTGAGTCTTGTTATCTGCTACAGTGACACTACAACACATTTTTTTTTGTCTGCCTTTGGCGTGTTTTTGATTTGCTGCCTGCCTCTAACCATCTGCCTGTTAATTTGACTTCGACTCTGGATTGCCCTCATACATCTGTTTTCCCCTGTATTGACCACTGCTTTCCTGACTATCCGAATAAACCTGCATGTGGATCCTCACCTCTGTCGTCGGTGTCATCCCATGGTTACAGAAGACTCAGGTGGTGCGAGTGTAATCATTCAGAATCTATAGCATGTGTGTGAACAAAGTGCATGTATGAAGTTGTATTCCATGAATTGACGGATTTGTAGTTTTATGAATGTGAATGTTTTCCAGCGACCTCTGGTGGTTCAATGGTGATCATGACAATATTAGACTTTTCCAGAGATGTTTTCAAAAATGTGTTGTATCCAGTGTTTCTAGTTTATTTTAACCATAGAAAAATAGAAGTGCTAAAAAAATGTCTGTAAAACTGTGTGTACGTGACTAGAAATTCTCAATGCAGTTATGTTCTGTTTCTGTTTTCCATAGAGGAAAATGTAGATGAAGATCTTCAGCTTCCTGAACTGACTACTGGAGGAGTTGGAGGACATGTGATGTTTATCCCTAATAAGATACCATCAACTGCGATTGATGTAATTATTTGGCAATTTGGAACAACAATTATATTGACTGGAAATCCTGATTCACCCTCTGTAACTTCAGCATATAGAGACAGAGTCAGTTTTGACAAAAGCACTCTCTCTCTGGAGCTGAGGAACCTAAAACTGGAGGATTCTGGATCATACAGTCTGACTCTTCTTACCAGTAGTGGAGATCAACTTAGAGGAGAAACTTTATTACATGTGTTCGGTGAGTCTGTTACTATTAATGGTCTTTTTTGACCAATAAGAAGTTAACCCCCTCTGGGGCACATTTGTTAGTTCTTTGTTCCGAAGTGTAGTGATTACCATAGACATTCTGGGTTTAAACTGATGCAGAAATGTTTAAAGTTTCTTAAAATGTTAAAATGTTGCACACGTATTAACATAAAATGTGAACAATCATTCAGTACACCAAATTAGCTTTGCAGGGACATCAAACATGAACCATCTATGATTTTGTTTAGCTATGGTAGTTATACATTTGTTGCAGAAGTATTAAAAACATAATATTAATACATTAGCAAAAGACTTGTTGCAAAACACCTGATTACACATCAAGATAGAATAAGGGTTTACATTAAAAGTATAAGACTTAAGCAGGGAGCTTAAAGAATTTTATAGACCAGGTCTCTGTGTCCATTTCTGAGCAATCTTTCGTGTTGTAAATACCTTGGAATCATATTACACACTGAACATCCAGTCTTTTCTGGGTATAAGTTGAAGCTGTGTTATTTGTTGAATAAAAGCAAAATAAATATGTCAGATTGGCCATACTCGTTACATAAGAGATAATTAATATATTACATACATTTAAGGAAATGGGACATGAACAAGGCACATGAAGACTTATTTATATGAAGAAATTTTACCAGACTATAAACTAAATAAACACAAGATGATATACACAAGTAAATCCTGGGGAATTTCTGACAAGTGTGGGGGAAATCAAGAAAATGGCGACAATAAGGAAATCACATGAAACAATATTTAGGACAAAGAGTCCAAGGACAATCCTGACATTACACCACCTTCCAGAATAGCCCATCCTTGCATCATAAAGCAACATCCAAACAATCAGAGGAAAAAGACAGCCCAAGATGGAGCCAGAGCTGGTTGGAATAAAGGGCCACGAAGAAGATGCCTAAGGTGTGTGTGACACAAGACGGAACTGCAGGGTCAGAGGGCCAAGGTAGTCCACAGCTTGGAGACTGAATGTGATGATGAATGGCTCAAACAATGGGAGGCGCAGACAAAAAGTATGGCGAGAAAAAGGGAAAACACAGACACGGATGGAACGATGAACTCAATCTCCCCTGAGGGTAGAAAATAGCCTAATAAAAGTATCAAGGCTGGCAATGTGCTTCTTCTTGCCAAGAAGGTGAAGGTGCTCCATGGAATGGTGTGGTTAGCAGCTGGAGGAAAGAGTTAGATGAGAGAGAGGAAAGTGTTACCCTTGGAGACTTGGAAATATGAAGCTCAACTATCATCTTCTCCTCCTCTCCTTCACCGACTGTTTCAGGGGCTAAATCGGTGAAGGCAGTAGAAGCTTTAATCTTACTCGGCTTCCACTTTTGAGGGCGACAGAATTTGTGGGGACGAGGAATGTCACAACTAGCTGGAACCAGCAGGGCCTCAGGAGAGTTAGAGCTGGGATTAGCAAAAGTACCGGTTACAGCTGGCTGAAACCAGCAACAAAGCTCGAAAATAACAACTGGAAAATCACTGCGGACTGTAATCAGCGAAGGTGCTGGAGGGTTACTGCAGCCTGAAAACAGAGAAAGGCACTGGACAGTTACTTCCATAATAGGCACATTTTGAAAACATAGCCCTATATACATTTTTAGAGATCGCAAATTATGAAGCCAGAAGTATGTATGGCTGCACCTTGTCTTTACAACGAATGTTCTGTTCCTTTTCAAGCTTACCAGCTGACTCCTTACCTCTGTTTGGACGACTATCCCGCTGTAACCAGTTTGTCCAGTAGCTCACCATGTACGTTAGCAGACTTGGGATGCAGAGAGGAGTTGACCATGATGACAGGGTTTGAGTCTGGTGAAGAATAGTTCAAGAAAGTGGGTAAGATAAAAACAGAAACCAAGAAATAAAATAAACAAGTAAATTACAGGATGAGAGTGTGGTAAAATCTAAAAATGTGGTAAAAATCAGGTGAGGGCCTTTTCTGCATTACTTTTTAAAATTAGGGTTTAGGGATATGGTCAATCTCTGCTTTTGAAAACACTATTGGTTGGGTTTAGGGACGGTTAAGGGTAGGTCAGTCGATTGATCAGTCATTCAGTCAGTCAGTTGACAGTGACCTCTGGTGGATTTATGCAAGAACAGCAGGCGTGAATAACACTCGTGAATGGCAAATTTGAGACCTGAAAAAGCGTACACAGCGGTCTCTGGTGGATTTGAAAAAACAAAAACTGCAAAAAAACTTACTTCATGGGACGTATTTGGTGCTCTCCAGAAATGTATATAGCGGTACGTTTTCAGAATGAACCTGGGTTGGTTACTTCTGCCTGGGAACAGCAGGTGTGCTAAAGAGTGATCACTGTCTGTAAGCAGTGGAGGTGTAGGAGAGGTACTGCTATCTGCTAAAATATTTAAAATAATGTAATATATTATTTACTAGGAAATAACTACTTACATATTTGACATGCAAGAGTTTCATATCTGATTTCTCACACATGAAATGGGTTCTAATTTTATTTAGTGCTTACTAAACATGAAACATTTTGTTCTTTCTCCTATTCATTCAAGATTACATACATGATGTCATACTTATTGGTCCAGAAGAAGCATTAATTGAGAGAGAATCATCTGCCAACATCACCTCTAAAGGAAGCGGCACCATCACCTCTGTGCAGTGGATGAAGGATAACAGTCCTCTGTCTTCTAGCAGCAGAATCATCTTCTCATCTGATAACAGATCAGTGTCCATCAGTCCAGTGGAGAGATCAGATACTGGAGAATATCAGTGTACATACAGTAACCCTGTCAGCTCTGAGACGGCAAAACTCACCCTGATCATCAACTGTGAGTGTGAAACATATAGATCTGATGAAATCTATGATGATGAAATTCCTCTAACAGAGAGTCTCTTGTCTGTTTTATAGATGGACCAGATGGTGTTTCTATTAGGGGTCCAGATGTGGTGGATTCAGGGGTTAGAGTGTCTCTGTCTTGTTCTGCAAAGTCTGAACCTTCTGCTTCATTCAGCTGGACGTTTAATGGGTTAGACACTGGTGTGACTAGTGACACATTGACCGTTGATAAGACTGACTTCACAGACAGTGGAGAATACATCTGTACAGCTTTTAACAGAATCACAAACAGAAGAGAATCACAAAAACATATGTTACTAGTTCAAGGTAAATAATGCAGGTCAAGCCAACTCAAAGTATTAGTCTTCTCTACAATAGTATTTTCTGTTTTGACCTTTAAATGTCTAGAGTGAAATAAACAGTTTTTTGTAAGCACTGAAAAAAACTTTGTTGAAGTTACAACTGAAAAAAATAATATACAGTTGATCTAGAGTACAGATACAATTTAAATTGTAGCAAAGAAGTATGTTCCCACATGCAGTTGATTTTTACTTTTCTTTCATTTTTCAAATGACAAAATGTAGGTAAAGATCATCAGTTGCCTGAGCTGATTAATGGAGCAGTAGGAGAAAGCGTAAAGTTCACCCCTAATAATCCACCATCAACTGCGATTGATATAATCAACTGGCAATTTGGAACAACTATTATATTGACTGGAAATCCTGATTCCCCAGTTGTAGCCTCAGCATATAGAGACAGAGTTAGTTTTGACAAAAACACTCTCGCTCTGGAGCTGCGGAACCTAAAACTAGAGGATTCTGGATCATACAGTCTGACTGTGGTCCTGAGGTGGATTTTATACTCTTTAAAGTGTGAAGTTAATATATATATTCAAAGTGTATGTATATAATCTGCTTGTAGACTTGCATACCATTAGAAGAATTACCATATCACAAGAACTGGATAAGTTATATAGTTACCAGGTTTGGGTCAGGGGTTAACCTAGGTGGAAATTGAGGTCAGGGGTTAACCTAGGTGGAAATTGAGGTCAGGGGTTAACCTAGGTGGAATTTGTGTAATATATGGAGAACAAAGAAAAAAACTGGTGTAGAAGACTATTTAAACAGGCCAGGAGATTAGGGAGGCAGAATTTTTCAGACAAAGATGCTACTGGGGGTCTCCTGAAAGTTCTCCTTTGTTGTCGACAATAAAGTATATTCTTCTGATATTCATAACCTCCAGACTGAGTTTGAGTTAGTAAGAGAATAACCAAGAAAACCACCACATTTGGCGTCCCTGGGTGGGCTGGAAAGGAGCAAGACTGGTGTTGCTGTGCATGCTGGACTGGAGAGAAAACACAAATATGTGGCCACAATAAAAAACGGTAAGCGATTTTATGCTTATTAGTTTGTGTTTTTTCTGCCAGCACCTGCTTGTACAGGTAAATACACTTGAACTGTTTCTCCAGCTTTAAAGAATTAAAAGTAAATATAAAAAAGATATTAAAGAAAAATGGGGTTTTGAATAACAGAAGAAAAATAATTTGCATGCAAATGATCTGTGTTTTCCTAAGAGGGCCTTGATGGATAGGATAAACATTAACTAGTAACTGTTACTCAGACTTGGGAAATTATTAATGATATAAGATATGCATAGAGCATTTATAGGTTTTAAGAGAGAGTCTTCAATGTGTGGTGACAGTTAAGAGATTAAAGCAGAGTAAGGTATGCAAATGATCTGTGTTTTCCTAAGTGGGCCTTGATGGATAGGATAAACAATCACTAGTAACTGTTACCCAGATTTGGGAAATTAATAATGATGTAAGATATGCATAGAGCATTTATAAGTTTTAAGAGAGAGTCCTTAATGTGTGGTAACAGTTAAGAGATTAAAGCAGATTAAAGTAGAGAGATGCGCGCTAAGACCTACGATACCGCTTTGTTTGAGGAGATAAACAAAGGGCTGCATGGGTAGGCGAAAGCCTGTGGTTACCGCTCTAAGGTTAGAGGGCTGCTCGGACAGGTCACTCAAGAGGAGTGTAGTGTAGAGTATTTATTTAATTGAAGTGTTTGTGTATTTGCTGCTTCAGATTGTGGCAAAATAGTCCACATTGGTGGGCAGAGAAGACTGCCTTCCTCCTCCTTGAATGGAATGAGGATGGGGGATGCAGCTCCTGTTACACTGAGTGGAGGAGAGGAGTGAATGAGAAGAGGAAAAGTAATAAGATTAGAAGTGTGAATGTGTTTAAAAGTATGTTTTCAATAAGGAGTAGGTTAAAATAATGATTATAGTATATTATAATATAAAAGGAGGGCTGCATATGTGTGGTGTGATTTAAAGAACAATAGGAATAGTGATTGATGCAGTTTAAGAGAAGAGATTATGATAGAAAGAAAGGAGTCTCTTAAATCAAAACTAATGGAACATGTTGCATTTGAAAGACACAGAGTAAAAGGCAGAATAATATAATAGTTAAACATTTTTCTGAAATTATCTTTGTGTTTTAAGTTTGAATATGTTAAAAAAGAATAATAGGCAGAGTGGACTTAAATTCTTTACATAGCAACAGGTGAAAGACAGTCTGCTCCAGGATGGGGGTAAGGGAGAGATTTATGGTGTCCATGTGTGAACAATAGATTGCCTATTTACAGCACTAAGGAAACAGAGAAGAGGAGAGTTAATGAGAGGAGATCAAACTATAGATGAAATAATGACATAGACATTAACATAATTTGGATAGAATATAAGTTATTACTGAATAGATAAATTATAAAGTAGTATAGTAAGATAAATTAAATGAGGAAAAACTAATAATAGAGTTATATTATATAGAAAAGAGTTTGAAACTTTACTAATGAAAAAGAATAAATGAAGCCATAGTGATCAATATATATAGAGATAAAGGAAGTATGGAGTAAAAGAATGTATTAATAAACAAATAGATTTACTAAACAAGTATGAATAAATAACATATAAGTTAGTTCTTTGATTGAGAATAAAATAGAAAAAGAAAACTTGAAAAATGAATATTGATTAATTGAAGATTTAGTGATAAAATGTGGAATAAATAAGCTTTAAAATGTATAAGAAAACCTAAGAGCTAAAAACTCAAATTACAGAAAGGAAAAAGAATAAAATAGAAATAGGAAAAAAATAAGTCCACTGTTTCATAGATAAAAATAGATGTTTAAAATATGCTTACAATATAGGCACATTGAACAGATAAGATAAAAAGTAAAAAGCAGTAACAATTTGAAGAAATAATTGACTTTAGAGAATTTGTTTGTATTTAAGGGCAATACCAATGTTTGTTTCATCTTTCTCAAAGTCAGCTACATCATCTATTTGTAGTAAAGTACAGTGATTCAGATGAAAATCATAGACACTAGGTAAATGTTAAAGAATGCGTTAGAATGAGTTAAAAAATACATTTTAAAGTTTATGCAGTAAGAAGCTAAATTGATAAGTGTGCATTGCACTTCAAAAACGAAAAATGCTTTTAGTAAATAAATATGTGAATTTAATTAATAATGTTAATTTTGAGCTATAGCAGTAATGATTTTTAACAGTTATTCCAGATATTGGGCCACCATGTAGTATTGTTGAATTAAAACAAGTATGGAAAAACAGATATGGAAATAAAAAATGCAATACTAAAATACATGGCAGAGAAAATAAAAGATAAGATAATGACAAATGGCAAACAGAAGAAACATTTAATGCAAGCAGTGAGAAAATAGAAACTGAGTATGGAAAATGTTAGGGAAAATAAAATTCGATGTAAAAATGACCGGTTAGTAGAGAAACACTAGCATAGATGAGGAGAAATGTAAAGTAAAGCATAATATGGAGCTAAAGAAATTTATTAGAATAATACTAAAGAAATAGAAAATTAAACATATTTACATATGATAAAATGATTGTGAATTAGAGAAAATAAACTGTTAAAACCCGTAAGGGGAGAAAATAGATGAGAGGAGTCTCCATTTGATGGAAAAAAAAAATGGGAAAGAAGAAAAGACTTTTATAGGTCATTAGCTCAATTCCATATATTAATTAGGAGGACAAAGGGATGGACTTTGGGGGACTGTGGTCTCTTACCTACTAGACATCTCTGAGTGCACTGGCAAATGGAAAAGGTGTTTGAAAAACACAATGGATAAACTGTTGGCTGTGGACACTTGTGAAAGCAGTGAGGCAGACACTGCATGCCCAGGAATTACTGAGGACTGGAAAGGCTACTTATGTTCAGAGACACTAAAAAGAGGCAAACAAGCTAATGATGAACTGATCAAAGAGAAAAAGCGCTCCACCAGAACTTTACAACAGCTCAATGAAAGAAGCCAGCACTAAGAAAGAAGGGGGAAACACTGTGCCCTGATATGGACACCACAGAAAAGACTACACCAATCTATGAACCAGTTGTCTACTCAGGGTGTGAGGAGGGGGAGTCTGGCAGTCCATCTCAAAGCAGTCGACCTATAGTCCAAATTGAGTACAATGTGACCACTCAGAGGGCAAAATAAGAGCAAAAGTGTAGCTACCCATTCTTGTATCAAATCAGACTCCTGTCAATTTGATAAAAAGAAAAGTATCATGTAAACTGTAAGAAAAGTCTTAGATGATAATGTACAATGAAGATTTAAATGTGTAAGGTTGAAATGATAAATTATGAAGAATGTTAAATTATTTTGGTTCATTTTCATAGGTTAACTCATAGAGATTATTGAACATAAGAGGATAAATTATAATGCATGGTGGTGATAAAAAAAGATAATAAAAGACAGTTTTTGATAACTAAAAAAATAATAATTTGGGTTAGAAGTTGATGAAGTTAAGTATTTAAGTTAAAATTAGGGAAAACTTATTTTGAGTAAACTAAAATAAGATTTGGGAGAAAAATTATGTCAGAGATTAAGACAGAAAAGTGATTTATACTTGAAGAGAATGAAAAAAAAAAGTGAAATGAACTCACAGTACTGAATAGGTCAAAAAGTAACAATTCTAAATGTACTAAAAGAATAAGCGAAAGAGAAAAGTGTTTAAACAAATAAAAAACAGAAAACAGGTTGTTTTACATATGTGAAGGAATAATTAAAAGTAAAAAAGGATTAAGGACTAAAGATGAATAATCAGATCAGCTAGAGAGGGAACCTATAAAGAAATCCAGTGATTTTTCAGTCAACTGAT